GTGTGGAAATTAGAAAAAGAAAATGCTTTTTCCCCCATTCGTTTATTCATAAGGACAACACTGAAAAAGTCTCTCCATTGTGACAGAAACATCATTGCATTTAGACATGACCTAATTTCCCACTAAAATAAGAGTTCCATCTACCATACCAGAAGCTTAATATTCACTTATTCTTACTTTTTTTCTTCAGCCAATTCTTACATCCTTTTTCCGAAAAGTACAATAATTTATTTCAGTTTCTTTCCTCTTTATAACATTTACTCTTGTCTTGCTTGAGATACTGTTCAACTAGGCTTATTAATAAAAACTACTCGCTACCTCTTAAAATTAAATAGCTAAAACAAACATTAAAATTAATACCATGTGATATATCAATAGTAAAGAGGTAAATGCTAAATTTTCTTTTGAATTATGGGCAGGTAGTGCTATAGATAATTTTAAAGCACATTTTGAATATAAAATTTAAACAAATATATCTGAACAATAAAGTGGTATTGTTTTTAAATAATTTTCCACCTAACAATAATACAGTAATAAATTATTTTAATGTTACTTATCTATTTTGCATGCATGTCTTTGTATGTATCTGTGTATAGAAGGAAGGGCTTATACACATCTCAATATTCATGTAGCTGTTAAAGTATAATTCTGTGTAGTCATTTTTCACCTTCTATTAAGCCTGAATGTTGGTTTATAGGCTGCTTGACAAGCCCCTCACCAGGGGATCTTGCTGGAACTACTGCCTACTCTTAAATTAATATTTTTTAAAGATTAGTGACAAATGACATCACATTCCAATGTTCATATTTCCATATAGGCATATTGACTTAACTGGTACATTTCTCATACTTAGAAGTATATATAAAATGATGAAGGTAAGAAACTGAGAAATTAGATTTTAAGCAAAAACTCATAAATTTTATTAATTGTCACTTGGTTTTTAAAGTTTTGACCACAGTAAGTTTTACTTCTCTGTGTAAGTTTAGTTGTCTATATTATTAAAAAAAAAAAAAAACAAATACCACACAAACTTAAAAAGCCCACTACACAAAATCTCTAATATCCTCTTAGTTCTGCAGTTAAAATATAACCTACAACTGTTGCAAGATTTATGGCACAGTGTTCTACCTTTTCTGATACAATAAAAATGACAGAAATAAAAATTGTCATTATTGCCAAGTAAAGCTTAATTGTAACAGCCTCTCTTTGGGCTTCTAGTGTGAACTTTAGGTGTGAATAGAGAAATAATTACAGAACTGGGTGATTGGTACATGTAATTAAGCATTCTTGATCATATTATGTTTTGTTTTATTAGTATCTCATTTCTAGTCTTATAATATGACTTCAGAGATATCATACTCAGTACTCTGAAATAATTGCTCCATTTGGTGATTGTCATCTGAGATCTGTCTACAAAACAGTGATTTTTGTAACTCAAGGCCAGTGTCACTACACAGAGATAATGATAACTAGAGGATTTATATCCCTTCCAAGGATATTGAAAAAGTGTATAACAAAATATCCTTCTTTGTATCATCATTGAAACACTAGCCTTGAGGTGGGCAGAGAGAGGCTCTGTATCACCAGTCACACCTTGAGTGACTGTCATCCCTATATGTCTCCATAAACCAGAGTCTCATTCAAATATACACATTCAGAATAAGTAAAGGAGTGCAGAGCTATTAATCTTAGTTTTGATTTCTGTTCCATCTCTTTATGAGACCATGTGAGAATCCATTGCAAGAAAAAGGTTTTTTTATCCCCTCCTTGTATTTGAATAGTTCTTAGTGTTTAGAGAATTGTAGTAGTACCCAATTGGACTTCGATATGTTCCTGGTTAAGGGATAAGCTATCACATGAGAAATGGATGAACTAAATTGTGGAAGCTTATCTATCTATCTATCTATCTATCTATCTATCTATCTATCTACCATGAGAGAGAAAGATTGAAGCTTAAAATTGGAAGTACTGTTATAAACCAGAACGCAAGAAAAATCCAAATTACAATACATCTAGAAAAAAATATATTCTGAATATGATTATTTTTAGAAACTTCCATGACTATGAATTACCAAAAGAATTGTATTTAGATCCATCAGAAATAGACACATCTCTTGTCCGTATTTAAATATGATTTGATAACACATTAAATAAATGTGTTATTTGTCAAAAGAAAATACTTTAATTTAAACCTTAGTGCAGGGGTGTCTTTTAGAATTGCCTACAGGCTTGTTTAGTACAATAGCTTTAGTGCCTATTGGTCATATTTAAGAGTTCATTCTCTTTACTGTCTCTCCTTTAATTAATCTATGAAAAAATTTCATCCTACATATATAGCTCAAACTGTCTTTGAATTTAGATTATTCAAATGTAGCTTCCCAGGTGCAAGGAAAACAGGTATTTGTACCATGCGGAACATGGCTATATTTCATCTGTGGCAAGATCCAAACCAACTGTGGAAAATGTTTTCTGATGGTCTAATTGGCTGTTCTCCAATTGGAATATATAGGTTACATTGATATGATATATATATCATATCAATGTAACCTATATATTGGGGTAGGTTTAGTATTGGATAACCAACTTTTGTGCTCTTCCCTGAGAAGACTCTTTCTTCCAGAGGACCAGGATGTTTCCTATGAGATTTCATCTATAAATGTCTAAAAATCTCCATGTATGAAATATCACTCATCAGCACAGTTTTCTAAGACCTGCATAAGAACAACACCAATAGAAAATGAAACTTTTTTACAATGACATTCTCCAAGTGTGAGACATTCTTATTACTTTATTATCAGGGTGGTTCTATACGGAGTACACAATATCTATCCACATGCCTGCTTAGAATAACCACTGAGATAATAATAGTAGGAGTTCACAATGATAGAGCTAAAAATACTCATCACCACATCACAGAAATATTATGTAGAGATAGCCAGATTTGGAATTTATTTTAATTTTTTAAAATTATCTATTCACTATGTTTTGTGATATCATTTCCGTTCCTTAAATACTCCCAAATGCTTTCTATACCCATTTAATTCATATTCCATCCCACTAAAACAAAACAATATGCAACCCAAAACAGCACACATGAACACACAGACACACAGACACAGAAACACACACACACACACACACACACACACACACACACACAAAGGATCTACTTTAATAAGTGTTGAGTGAAACATTGATCTATGTGTTCCCATACATTATAATAGCTATTTTCATTCAGCAGAATTATTATTGTAGGTTTTTCCCTCTTAGGTCCCATCACCTATATATGTAGACTTCTGTTCTTGGCATATTAGCACCATCAACAATAGATTACATCTGCAGAAGTAGGCCTTAAATCCAATTAAAAACAAAATCGTTTCTTAACTCCCATAATTTTTGTCTTAATATTGTTCCACCTTATCTAGCAGGCAGGACACTGTTATATAGGTCATAAAATTTATGGCTGTTTGATATCAACCATGTTTCTCCTCTGGTAGCAAAGTCCCTTCCAGCATCATGAACTTTATAGTGGGAGTAAATCTTCTACTTGAGCACCAGTTGGAATAACACATGATGGTTGGTGACAGAAGTATCTCCAGCAGTAGTGTCCTTCCCTTAGGTAGTAGTCACCAATAGTATGCAATATTCAGAGCAGTGTCTATGGGACTGTTTTTTTGTCTATGATTCAAAAAAACTGTAATTAGTTCTCACTACTGAAGGTTTTAATTTGTAGTAAAGCATGTCACCTTGTGGCATTTAAATCCCTGATTGTAGGTTAACTTCACTCACATTACTTTTATCTGTGTACATATGTTAGAAAACTTCTATAGTTTATTTTGATATGATTTTTCAAAACCCTTTAGTACTACTAACATGTCTTCTTAAAATTTATTTTTTAAGACTTACTATAGGCTCAAAGAAACAGCAATAAATATATTTAATATACAAGGAAGTCGGTAATAATTAGCACCAATGCTACACGAAAACATTTTATGTGTAAAATTGTGCTTTACTTTTGATACTCAATTTAGAATCTTTGATTCATCAGGGTAACTCTATGTATATGACTCTGACTTTTAGTAGGTGTGCTGGCTTAACAAAATCAGCATTTTCAAGACCTTACAAGTTTATCAGACAGGGCAAGTGACCACAAATAGAGATATTTTATGATGAATAAGTTCACCTCGCATAAATAAAATTATATTATGTAGTCAAAGCAAACAGATGTATAATGGGACTTAAAAAACACAAATATACACACGGCTTTTGTGTATAATTGTAGTAGCAGAGAATATAAGAGACAGAAATATCAAAACTTATTAAACATTTTCTGTATCAAAATTCCAGCTGCATTACATAATGGATAAATTGTGGCCTTATTGGATTATCCTGCTTGTATTAAATCTACCTATTTTTATTTTATAAACTTTCCTCTAACTTTTATCTAAAGTTGTACTAATCCATTAACCCCCCCACCCCAAAACATGCATACTTTTTTTACTTAGGCATGTCAATTGTGGTATATGAATCTAAATTAATTCTGTGTGTAGGCAGAGTTCTTAGTTATTGTTTTTAAAAAGTTAACATAAAAAGAAAGTTATGCGATCCTTGATTTTGCTGACTCTGGCTGTTAATTTCTTTCAAAAACTTAACAAAAGGAACAGAAAACACAAGTAGTCATCTTGGTAAATTGAAAAAAAAACTTTGATCTTTAGACTATTTTTTTAATGTTACCAAGAATAGATAAATTTTTTATGAAGCGCTTGTTGTCTTAAATATATAGCATCGTGTTTGAGGTTGACACTACTTTTTAAACTTGGACCTTTGATTTTTTTTCTTATATCTTCTTATTTTTACCAGTTTAAATACCTATGTAACCTTCAAAATAACCTTCCTCTTTAGGTAATTGCTAGGTCAGCCACTTTCATCAACTTTATTCAAAATAATGGAATTTGACTCTTTACCTACTCTGACATTTTTAAGCAAGATTTTACTTTGCTTAAAACTGAATTTGTGCATTTGCGTGTCATCTTTGCACAGGGACAATGCTAATCTTCTCTGTATCATTCCAATATTAGTATATGTGCTGTTGGATATTAGCCCAAAATCTCACAAAACCCAAGATGCAACTCACAGACCACATGAAACTCATGAAGAGGAAAGACCAAAGTGTGGGTGCTTTGGTCTTTCTTAGAAGGAGTAACAAAATACTCAAGGAAGCAAGTATGGAGACAAAGTGTGAGACAAACTGAAGGAGGGGACATCTGGAGACTGTTCTACCTGGGTATCCATCCCATGTGCAGTCGCCAAAGGTAGTGCATGCTGACTGGAGCCTGATATAGCTGTCTCCTTAGAGGTCTGGCAGAGTCTGACATATTCAGAGAGGATGCTCACAGCTAACCATTGAATTAATCATGGGATTCCCAATGGAGGAGCTAGAAGACTGAAGGAGCTGAAAGCGTTTGAGGCCCCATGAGGAGAGCAACAATACCAAACAACCAGAGCTCCTAGGGTCTAAACCACCAACTTTGGAGCACATAGGGAAGGACCTATGGTTCCAGCTATATATGTAGGGGAGGATGACCTTGTGGGGCATTTGTGGGAGAAGAGATTCTTGGTCCCATGAAGGCTGGACTCTTAGTGTGGGGGAATTAGAAGGTGGGGAGGAGGGAGTGGGGTGGTTGGTGGGGACACATCCTCATAGAAGCTGGAAGAAGGGGGATAGGATAGGGGGTTCCTGGGTGGGGAAGTGATGAGGTAAGGGAATAACATCTGAAAAATAAATAAAATATCCAATAAAAAACCTGAATTTACATTTCATCCTTCATCAAAATAGATTTCCTTTATGCATTATTCTTCTTTATCCAAAGAACATTTCTTTGTCTATATTATTTTCATATCCTTTTCTCCTGTTTCTTGCTTTGTTTTCCCTTTATTTTTATCATATTTTGAAACACTATTTTTCTTTAATTCTTTCTTATTTGTTCATTTACTCATTGTCTTACTTATTTACATGTTTTGTTGTTGTTTGAGGCAGGAATAACCCTGTAACTTTGGCTAGCTTGAAAATAGCAATGGAAACCAAACTGGCCTAGAATACATAAAGTTCTACATGTCTTTGCTTCCTGACTACTGGGATTAAAGGTGTGTACCATAAAACCAGGTTATAAGTAACCTACTTTATTCCTTCTCTCAATAAAATAAAATTATATCCAATAATCATAGTTCTTAAAAATGATCTAAGATGAAAGCAATAAATTTATACATCTACTGAGGAAATATTTAATTTAGTTAAGTATATGTTTCTTCTTAAAGGATATGGGATTCAAAAGTACTCAATATTGTACTTAAGGAATACAAATTTCATTTTTTCCAGGGAATTTTTCCTTCTGTTGAAAATAGATCTTTTTCTTATGTGATATATTCCAATTATAGTTTCTTCTCTCAGTACTTTGCTTAGTCTTTCCCTCTCTACACAAATCCACTAGATCCATGTATTTATTGATTTTCAATAGAAAACAAACTGGCATGGAGGAAATAATAAAAAAGTAAATTATAATAAGCAAAACCCAAAACTAGTACATCATAATAGAACAAAATAAACGAATGGAAGGTAAAGAGTTCCACAAAAGGTGTAAACTTTTATGGTACATACATATACTCAGGAATCTCAGAAATCTCATACAAAACACACTATTGTTGTTCTTCCCATGGGGCCACAAGCCCCTTCAACTCCTTCAGTCTTCTCTCTAACTCCTCCACTGCGGACCATATGGTCAGTTTGATGGTTAGATGAAAACATGCTAAATTAATTAGTCATAATGTATTAAAAATAGAAGGGAAAAAAAGAACACTGTAATGTAAAATAAAAATGAGATAAATGTGATAGAATCTCTGACACAAAATTATGAGATAAAGACCATCCAATGGTACTGTTAAATTTCTTTTCCTCTAGTCATCGACCATTGAGCATGCTTGCCTAAATTTAAGAGTAGCTTGTTTCTCCAGTGAGACTCATTTGGAGGAAACTAAATTTGCATGATAGTGGTTATCATTTGGAGACAGCTTCTTGGTTATGGATGGGACTAGGTCTCCTCCTTTTTGCTCTAGGTGTCTATCTGGTTTAGATCCCTGTGGGCAGTGTGAATGGTGCCTCAGTCTCAAGGAGTTCATAAGTGAATTGATCCTGTTGGTTTAGAGGATCTCATTTTTCTGGGATTCTTGTGTCTCCTATGGTTTTTAGACTTTTTCCACTTCCTCTTCCACATGGTTCTCTGCGGTGAGGGATTTAATATAGACATCAAGCATAGAGCTGAGTATTAGAAAGTTTCACATTTTCTACATGTCTGGCAGTAGATCTCTGTATTTGTTCATGTACACTGCAGTACGAAGCTTATCTGATGATGACTGAGCAAGATGCTTGTCTATGAATATAGAACAATGTCTGTAGGAGTCATTTTACTGCAACTTATCTTTTTATTTTCTTCTATTTCCTTCAGATACCTAGTTTCAGGTATGGGTCCATCTCATAGAGTGGGTCTAAAGCCAAATCAGATATTGTTTGGTTACTCCTACAAGTTTTGTTCCACCACTCCACTAATATAATCAGGAAGGGAGCACACCATTGTAGATCAAAGTGTTAGTAGCTGGGTTAGTGTTTACATTTTTTTCCTTTGGCAGGATGCAAAACACCTTCTGTCTCAAAGATGCTATAAAATAGGGGTGAAGGCTCTATCTAGGCATCACATTGACTTCTCCATGTTCAATGAGTTGTATATATGTTGTCTTCAGAAAGGGTCTTTAACACCAATTTGTGGAGGGCACCTCTTAGCCTTGGTAAAAGTCTACGTTGTTTAAACAGGAGTCTGATATTGTTGTCTCCTGAGAGGCTCTTCCAGGGACTGGCAAATATAGAGGTAAATGCTTGTAGCACAGCTTCCCCAAAGGAGGAGTTAGAGAAAGAAATGAAGAAGCTGAAAGGGTTTAAACCCATAGGAAAAACAATATCAACCCACCAGATTCCCCCACCCCAGAGTTCCCAGGAACTATACCACCAACCAAAGAGTACACATGGAGGATCCCATGGCTCCAGCTACATGTGTAGCATAGGATGGCCTTGTTGGACATCAATGGGAGGAGAGGCCATTGGTCCTGAGAAGACTCCATGCCCCAGTATAGAGGAATGCCTGGGTAAGGAGGCAGGAATGGGTGGGCATGTGGCTGATAAGGTGGCAAGGGAGGATGGGATAGGGTATTTCCAGAGGGGAAACCTGGGAAAGGGAATCACATTTGAAATGTAAATAAATAAAATATCCAATAAAAATAGGAAAAAAGAGTCAATAGATGAAACCTCATGAAACTGAAAAGCTTCTGTAAGGCAAAGGACATAGCCATTAGGACAAATCTACAACCTATACTTTGGAGAAAGAAACTTCACTCACACTATATCGGACAGAGTGCTAACATGAAGTATAAGGATGAATCTTTTAAGAATCTTGAGTTTGTTTAATAATTCACTAGCACCTTCAACTGCTGAAGTCTCTCCAGATACTCTCTTTCCTCAGATCTCAGAGAACACTGAAGACCTATCATGCAAACAAACTACGTTTCAAATCTAAAGAAGCTAATTCCGTTGATTATCTTGATCCATCAATTGTAACTGGTAATTAAATAGGTGACTCAGTGTACCAAATTTTCTACAAGTTGGGGGGAAAATTGGAAAATGATTTTGCTGGCATGTTGCTTTAAGTATCTCTGGAAAAATTTATGAAGGAAAATAATGAGCTGTATTGTAATATTGAATGGCTCCAGATGCAAATAAAAAATCTAAAGTTTTCTAACTGTACTCTTGAAGAGAATCTTCTCTCCAGCAGCCCTAGAGCTTAAGTTGCAGAAAAATCAAACTGAAGCCCTCTGTCTCAAGTCTCTGCCTCAGAGGATGTCAACAGATAAAGTAAAGTTATTCATTGGCAAAAAAATGAGATCCTATAATTTGGGATGAGGATGTGTGGAAGGACCCTGTTGAAGCTGAGAAATTTGAATCTTCAGATTCTCAAGTGTTTACCTCACCTGAGGAAGTAGTACCCTCAGCTCCACCCCCTTGAAATAATGCCCTTTTCACATGAGGAAATTCATCCCTGAGAGTCCGATAAACCAGCAGTGACTTTCTCTGAAGAAAATGCCAGAGAAGACAATACTGATGTTCCTCAAGGGCCACCAACACTTTCTTCTAGACCTACAACCAGAGTCAAGGCAAAGCAATCCCACAGAGGGGAGGTAGAAAGTATAGTCCATGAGGAAATGTGCTACAGTACTAAGGAATTTAGAGAGTTTGCTAATTCATTCGAGCAAAAGTCTGGGGAATATGTGTGAGAATGGATTTTAAGGATGTGGGATAATGGTGGAAGGAATATAAAACTAGATGAGGCTGAGTTTATTAACATGGACCCTCTGAGTAGAGAATCTAGGTTTAATATAGATGTTCCCACAGTTAACAAAAGGTGTCACAAGTTTGTTTGAATGGTTGGCTGAAGGATTTGTAATAGAATGGCCTACTAAAAAGGAGTTAGAGATACCTAATAGCCTTTGCCTTAGTGCTGATGTAGGAATTTTAAAGGTCAGGGAAATTGCAATGGTACAGTGGATATGTTGTGTAAAACCTAGTCCTCCACAATGAGAAGACCCAGAAGATAGATATGCTGTTCACGAATCCTGTAAGAGGAAACTGGAAAGATGGGCACCAGCACATTTGAAGAGTTTTGTTCTTGCCCTTTTCCTTGTGCCAGACCTTAGGGTTACAGATGTGCTGCTCAATTGGATGAATTAAATGCAATGAGTTTAATTGGGTCCCAAGGTAGCAAGGGCCAGGTGGCAGCACTGAATTGCCAGAGACAAGGTGATCATAGTTATTATAATGGGTAGCTTAGACAAAACAAGATTTATAATGACCTAGTTCATAATGGTCAGCACAGGAGAAATTTATAATGACATGACTTGTCCAGAACTTTGATACTGGCTAATCAGTCATGGTGTTTCCAGGCATAAAATAGATAGGAAGCCTACTGCTTATCAGTTTGATCTATATAAGTGGGAAAACTTCACAA